AAAATCTATGGCCTTTTTTATATATATATACAAAAATGTTTGTGATGCCCGGAAACATTGTTTATTTCAATGCCTGACTTTTAAAAAAAAAAAAAAAGTCACAACAGGAAGGGTGAGGTCCTGCTGGCTGTGAGGAATTCTGGGAGCTGAAGTCCACCTATCTTTAAAGTTGCCAAGTTTGAAGAAAAAGACCGTTGGCTTACCTGAACGGTCGTTCTCGGGGCACTGCGAGGAGAATCCAAGCGTGGGTTAACACAGCCTATCTGCCCTTGGACTGAGTGATGTTTTTCTCTTGACCACGCCTCCCTTTGCCTCACCATACTCAGTTTAAAAACGAAGTAAGACAGTCCTGTAAGCAAGTACAGTCAATACAGTCACATCATGCCAGAAAAACACCCTGGGTGGGATTGGACTCTCCTCGCAGTGCCCCGAGAACAACCGTTCAGGTAAGCCAACGGTCTTTCTCCAGTGCACTGCTCGGAGAGTCCAAGCGTGGGACATGCCCAAGCTATTGAGTCCCAGAGTGGGGAAGAACTGGAGCCTCTGGAATTTCAGCTACTCTTTGTAATACTCTTCTCCCAAAGGAGGCTTCGGCTGAGGCAAAGGTGTCAATTTTATAGTTTTTAATGAAGGCGGTGGGGGAAGCCCATGTGGCCGCCCTGCAAATGTCTAGAATAGATGCTTGGGTTGCCCAGGCCGCTGAAGCTGCTGCGCTTCTAGTAGAGTGTGCGGTGACCTGGCACGGAGCCGTCTTGCCTTGATGCTCATATGCCAGTTTGATGCAAGCGCGCAGCCAACGACCCACTGTGTGCGACGAGACCTTGTGGCCAAGGGACGCAGGAAGGAAGGAGATGAAAAATGCCTCCGAACGGCGGAATTCCTTAGTCCTCTTTACATAGGTACGCACGGCACGCCTCACATCCAACTTATACCATTCACGCTCCCTAGGGTGAGAAGGATTAGGACAGAAGTTAGGTAATGTAATCTCTTGAGTCCTGTGAAACAGAGAGTTAATTTTCGGGGTAAAGGAGGGATCGAGTCTCAGAATGACCCTGTCGGGGTGAACTATGCACAAGGCCTCCCTGACAGAAAGAACTGCCAGCTCGGATACCCTGCGTGCCGACGTGATAGCCACCAAAAAGGCAGTCTTGATGGTTAAGTGGCGTAGACTGGCCGTGCGCAGAGGTTCAAAAGGAGGTTTCATCAGAGCCTTCAAGACAAATGGTAGGTCCCAGGACGGGTACCGGTGAACTGCCGGTGGACTGATGTTTGCTGCGCCCTTGAGAAAACTCTTAATCTGAGGGTGTTGACTCAGAGAACGAGAGGATCCCCTGGCGAGGATGGTAGACAGCGCTGCAACCTGACGTCTAAGTGTACTGGTTGCCAGACCTTTATCTAGACCCTCCTGCAGAAAGTCCAGGGTCTGAGGTATCGAGGCTG